TACAATCACATCTTGTATCCAGGGTGCAACCATTTCAGCGACTTCCTCTGAAGATTCCAAAACAAATGCACGTTTAAACTTCCTTTCACAAAGATATATTTCCCCTTCAGGAAACTTCTTTTTCATGTCCTCATAATAGGAGACTGGTGCCCAATGGTCAGTCGCTCCATAGTAAAATATCAACTTCTTCAAATTTTGTTCAATCACCTGAGAAAGAAAATTATTAATGTCAGAAAGAATGGTGTCCATTATGAGTTGTTTGCTTCAAGGACTGTATGGCATCCGAGAGCGTTTCTGACCATTCAGATGAGAACTAAGCACTGTGCTGTTCAAGGTAGTTCTAACTTTTAAATCTGTGAATGAAACCCTGGTGTGTGACCATTTAAAGTAAAGCTATTGAGCAATACTTTCATGAGGTGGTTTATTAAGTCGTACAAGGTGGTTCTAACTTTTAAGTCTGTGGAACTCACTCTTGTGTGTGGCCATTTAAAAGACAGCACTTTCATATAATACTATTTGTTTTTTAATATTTATTTTTGGAAAGTGATATTAAATTTCATTTCTTTTTATTTGAAATTTGACACTCTAAGAGTGTGCTGTTTTTAAAGTTCCTCTCAATTAATATTACGTAAATGTGCAGATTCTTTTCAGTCACTTGTGTCTTTGAACTTAGACTTCAATAAAAAATGTGAGGATAAAAACTTAGTGTGTGACCACTTAAATGAAAACTACTGGGTACTAGAGTCTACTTTCTCCTAGTCTGACATGTTACATGNCGCTCCATAGTAAAATATCAACTTCTTCAAATTTTGTTCAATCACCTGAGAAAGAAAATTATTAATGTCACAAACAATGGTGTCCATTATCAGTTGTTTGTTTCAAGGACTGTATGGCATCCTAGAGCGTTTCTGACCATTCAGAACTAAGTACTGTGCTGTTCAAGATGGTTCTACCTCTTAAATCTGTGGATGAAACCCTAGTGTGTGACCATTCAAAGTAAAGCTATTGAGCAGTACTTTCATGTGGTGGTTTGTTAAGTTGTACAAGGTGGTTTCAACTTTTAACTCTGTGGAACACACTCTTGTGTGTGACCATTTAAAAGACAGCACTTTCATATAATACTGTTTGTTTTTTTAATATTTATTTTTGGAAAGTGACATCAAATTTCATTCCTTTTTATTTGAAATTTGACACTCTAGCAATGAGCTGTTTTTAAAGT